AAAAGGATAGCGCAGATAAAATAAATAATAATGGCAACTAAAATAATTAAACATAAAAGACAAAGACAATAAAGGCTTTCTGAGTTCTATGTTTCAAAATGGGAATGACCATCACTCACATAGCTAACGTCCTTCCAATATAGGGCAAGGCTTCATTCTGTTAGTTAAATAAAGACAACAAAACAGCAGGTCCACCACACCTGCCCTCCCGTCATATTGCTTATTGGTTGACTATGACATCAACACAGCAGGTTACAGTCATGCTCTGACCCCGCTCACAGGCAACATCTAAACACACTGGATCGACAAGAAGCTGCATGTTTTCTACTGTCTTAGCGAAAATGGATCAAAACTCACAGAGTGGAGCAAAATAGAGGAAGACAGAGAGCACACAGATAAAGAGGGTATGTAATCACTGCTGGTAAAGGGCAGGATCTTACTGTTGTGCAGTGGTGTGGAGCTGCATCTCTTGAAGTGTACTGGAGTGGGCGATTGGGAATTGATAACTAATGGCCTTTGGGACCATTCTTCTCGAGCGAGGGCTCCCTGTGGGCGGTGTGCCTGAGGAGTGTCTGGGTGGAGAGTAAACAGTGTTAGGTTGGTCAAACTTATACAAATGTTCTTTGTAAAATGTCTCTGTGAAATACAAATACAATCAAGGACAACACATATGAGACTAAATTGTGAAAAAAAAATAACCCTTCTTGCTATAATATGTTAAGTTTTCTCCTACCAAATGAAAGAGACAACACACAGTGCGGTCTGGAGCTCTTTCTCCTGGAGGTCAGAGCCGAGCTGCAGTCAGGATTAGAACAGAGGACATCGCAAGAGGAGCAACACGAATAGGAAGATGAAGGTAGTGAAGAGGAGAGTGTGGACATGGACTTCCATGGCTCCTGGAGCACAAGAAAAAAAAACAAGAGAAAGAGAAAATCATCATCACAAGGTTTTAAGGAAGGTCTCAGCTTGAGCACTTTCTTTGTCATCTGGCAATAATACGGCAGCTTGGTGCTGTTAATTATAGCAGCTGTAATCACCATCTGAAAAAACAGTGCTCAGAAAGATGTTGGATCTCAAAAGTCTCTATATTTAAATTTCACATGCAATGAGGATTATAATTTAAGATTCTACCACAAGCCCAATGGATTTGTGTTCTATTTTGTAAGACTGATTCACAGTCTTCTAGTGATAATGTGAACACATTCGATCCAAACTAATACACAGTCTGAAAGCTGCGTCATGACTTTTGTAGGCACTTTTAAACTGTAAACTAAATATTTGCATATTATTATCATTTAAGGTTTTTATGGCGATCACATTCTCTCTAGTTAACGATACAGTACTAATACAGTATCGGGTTTTAAATTGTTTCCGATAGATAGTGGTAAATGGTAAGGTTTGTTTTAGACTGAAGTTTCTTGAGAAAATATTAAAATATTGAGATTATCAACTCAGATTATGCTCTGTGATTGTGTGTTAAAGATATTGTGATGGGATTCTTTGGGAAGTTTGTCCACTATAGTCACTATAATATTATTCTTTTCCTTTTTTTTTCAGTTCGCAGGATGGAAAAAACAAAACAATGAGTTGAAGACAGAAAAGAAGCTTTTTTACAATCTAGAGTTACTTGTTCACTGTGAGTTGGTTACCAAGAACAGCCACGTGGGTTTGCATTCAGTCATTTGATCTTACAGCATTTTTATTGGTGCAGCTTTAAATAAAAACGTCACTAAAAATAAACTGCAACATATTGTATGTCTACTGGCAGTGAGAACATGGCATCATGCATTAGCACCCCTGGGGCTTAATAAAGGCTGGAGCTTTCAAATAATACCACAGATTTGATTTGTTTAAATCCATCAGATATTCGTGTTTGATTCAAAGTTGGTGTGGGGCTTTAAACATGTATTCCTATTTTATTTGAGGGGCTTCTTAAGAGATATAGCACCCCTCACTGAAACAGGACAAAGAACAACTGATTTGAAGACACATTTATCATTTGTCACACAAGTGAGTAATTTCTATTAAATCAATTGACGTATATAACCTTTATATAATCCAATGCGTTCATTAGCTTTTCAACCTTTACTGTGAAACCCTGTGGTTATGTAGAGTTGGCTGGTGGTATAGTAATAAAGCATAGTGATGAGCCCTCGTCCTCAGAATAGAGAGAAAGGGGGAAAATAACAAATGCACACATTTTAGCATCTGTGCATGATCTACGCTCACTCACATTGTGAAGGGATACAAGTGGCACTAATGAATACAAACACTAGGGTATCCATGGCAAAATTGATTTGTATGAGCAGAGCAGGATTAAGATAATAATGATAATAATAGAGTGAGGAGATCTAAGGTGTAGGGGGAAGGGCTTCCCAAGTCTTAACATAAGCTGCTTTCAGACATGCACTGGACTCCGCAGTTCCACAATATTTTCTCCGGAGGAGGTGCGCGTGTGAAAGCAAATGTCCGACTTTCTTCGCCTGGCCTCCTATGATGGTGATAGGAGCCGACACTGGTGTGTGTTGTCAAGAAAATCACATGATCTCTGCAGTGGAGTTAATACTTAACTTAGGCTACTCCACCTCTTGACTGAATAATCTGGAGGATTTGTTGCTTTTGTGAACACATCTGTGCAGAGGACCTCACGCTGCGTTGTGCATGCGTAAAAGGCAAAGTGCGGGTAAACTCTGTTGCCAATTCTCTGGATTTTATCCGTAGATCATGTCTGAATACCTTTTCATTCAATATATGTAATTTCATTCAGTTGCGTGCAATATCCTAATGTCTGTTTGTACCATTTTCATCTGTTTATTCTTGTTTTAACTTTAGATCGTTCTACATAATTAGGAAACTAACATTCGTGAGCTGGATGTAATGTAATGCACTTGTCTTGTGTACAGTTTGGATGACAATAAACTGTAATTTCTGATGGTTTGACAGTTATGTTGTTAGTAAATGTTCAGATGGACAGGCTGGGTAATGGAGGAGAATGCACACAGGCCTACCTGCGAACTGCTGGGGTTGTGTGTGTTGAAAGTGAACAGTTTGGGCTTGTGGTAGGAGACCAAAGGCCGGGTTCGGGCACAAACGCACGCATCAGCCTTGTACCGCCTTGTGGTCACCAGTCTCCTTCTCTTAGAGCTGCTGCACAGAAGAGCATCATCTCCTCTCTGACCACTGCAGGGATGAGATCAGATGAGGCCATGTAAATGTCACGGATGTGATTCAGGATGAGATCACAGGCACTAAAAGGGCAAGATTTTGAAGGTCTTGCGTCTTTTAGATGCTGTTCACAAAGAACAAGCTGAAAAAAATAACTTACTTCAAAACCTTTTTTTCCGTTGATGCATAAACAAGAGCATCTTTTTTTTATTGCATTGCTTTTATCTTCAGAGAGTTAAAAAGGCAGCAAGAAGGAGGAACATGAAGGGATGATTCAGGCCAGATGGGACCTGACTGTTTCACTGGGTTACACTACAAACAGGGAGCCTGGTCTCAGCCATGATAATCTATTCTACATCGAGGCCAAAAACAGACAGTGGATACAACTGATCAGTCGAATTATTAAGTATTATTAGCTTGTCTGATAGAAATTAAGAGCATGTCTGACCAAATCTAGTATGAATCTAAGATTCCTCTGATGAACTAGAATTGTACTCAGTAGAGCGCATACCTCGGCCAAGGGCCAACAGTCCACTTCAATTCAAGCTGCACCCAAGTAATCACACTTATTAATCTCTACAAACACATTCTGCATGTGAATATGAATCAGCTGGTGGCTTTTTAATTGATCTGCATTCAAATGCAGATAGCAGTTAAGAGAGTTTAACCAAAATGTAAGTCTGTAATCTTTGTATAATCTGCTTACAACAAACCAACCAACAAACAAACAGACATGGGTGAAAACATAACCTCCTTAGATTGGTGCCAAAATTCATTGTCTCTAAACACAGTGATTGTATCTTTAACACCAACTCATGATACTCAGATTATGTTGATATATGCGTAACACTCTCGTTGTGTGTGTTGTCCACCTGGTGAAGGATCTCTTGTCTTTACGGGTCTCTGCTTGTTTTGAGAGCGGTGAAAAGCTGAGAGGAGGCATCAGACTTCTGACGATCTGGCTGAGCTGGGCGCTCTGTAATGAGAGACGTCTCAAAATAAAAACATTTCACAAGTGACCAATTGAAACTTAAGTGTGACAGACAGTCCGTCGTCTAAACAGAGAGAGCAGTGACAGCGTGTGAAGGAGTCACAACACAGTTCTCTCATGTCCCTTGCTTTAAAAAGTAAGTGATTATTGAATGATCATCATTTTTCATTGTTTGTTACATATTAAAGATTATTCACCATATAAATTCCATTCAACTGTCTCACTGCAGAGCATGATGTGGCTGAAATCTGCTGTGGCAGCAACACGTTGATTAAGACTTTATCTGATTTTAAATGGCACTTATGAAGGGTAGATATTTGCAAACAAATATAAGCACTTTCAAAAGTACAAAAAACATTCTTAAGCATCTAAATACCATTTTCGCTCTATCTTGGCCCCAAGGATGCACAGCTGAGGTTGTGTTTAACAACCTCAGCTGTGCACAGAAATGTTTTTTTTTTTTAAACTTGCACTTAAGTATCTGTGTCCTCAGACAACCTCTTACTCTGAGACAGAAAGTCATTTTTACCTGTGGCAGTTTTTCAAACAAATGTCTCTGAAATTACAAAATGCCTGACAGTGATTTGTGCGTATATGTATTTCACTAAATAAAATCTATTAAAATGAACAGATTCCTATTTTCAATCTTTGTATAGCTTTTAATTCCCTTAACAATCTGTTTAGCTGAAGGATGAATGGAAATTTTCTTTTTGAGTTGATTTAAATGATGTATGAATTCAAGCATCCCATTTGCAGTTTGCAATTTAGCATTAAAAAAATGGTTTAATCTTTACTGCACAGAGATCAATATGAAAAAAAAAGTGTGTGTGTGTGTGCTAGCTCCTCTCACCTACCTGCCTCTCTATGCTGTGTAGAAGGTGTGTGGGGCTGCAAGGTTCAGTGTCAGCATCTGACGTTGTGCAGCATAACCCTCTCACTTCCTTCAGCAGGGTCTGCTGAATCTGCCTGTCTGTCAGTGGCTGGGAGGCTGCGAGCACAACACCACCCTTAGACCCACAGAAAAACACACTCATTACTTGCCTCAAAGCTTTCAAACTCAGCCACTGAAGGTGTTAGTCTACTTTAATTAAAAAAATAACCTGACTCTTTTTGATCCCTGCAATTATTTTGCATATATCAAGTATTTATTTAACAAGGATTATTGAGGAAAAAAGAAGAGAGCTGGGCATTTTACAAGGTGAGATCTAATCTATTGATTCATTTATTATATGTTCATATTCATGTAGCTTTTTATATCTAACCATCACTCCCCAAAGGTTTTGACAGTTTGTTCCAGAGACTGTATATAAAGATGGACAATGCAAATCTTCCTCCTACAACCCAGACAATAACACCAAACAAAACAAGCTGTCTGACAGTAGCCATCAGGATGGAGCTGTACCAACTGAGTCAGTCTCGGTTTTATATAGTTTGCGTTTCATCTCACATCATATCAGCAATTAAAACCAAACTAACCAGGTAGATGAAAGTTTTAACATACGAGTGATAACAACTACTTCAAATGGAACAAACCATCTTTGAGAATTTGTTTTGTGTATTATGACTTTGGTCCATGTCCAGTCCATTAACATGGAGGAGGTGGGGTTTATTGACATAAAATGTAGATAGCCACGATTGGGCGATCGAGGTCCTTCGGCTTCGTTTTTGGCGGGCTGGTATTTTGTCCATTTTTACATACAGTCTACGGTTTGTTCCAGGATCTCGCTGAAAACCTAGCTAAACAAAACCCATTATGATACAGTAAGACACCAAATCTAGACACAACTGGTTGATGATATCTTCACACAAAACTGATCTAATTAACAAAAACAGTTGCCCATTATATCTGCCAGATGTTACATTACATCAACTGCGCTTTACTGAGGTGGATACAGTGGAGTATTGTTTTACTTTGGACGAGCGGATATGCTTGTGGAGCTCAACCAGTTGCTGTATCCTTCCCTCCAGCTCGGACAGACGCAGCTGCAGCCAGCTCCATCTGCTGCCCAGCTCCACTCTCTCTTCCAGCCATCGCCTTGCACATCTGCTGCTGCTCCTGCTGCTGCCAGGAGGGGTGGAGTGGCAGATGAGAGAAAGAGAGAGAACAGTTACACCCATGTTATAGTATTACGATATGTTTTATTTATTTTTGTCAGAGGCTTGAGATTCTGATCCAACCTCACAAGAACTGAATGTCCTTATAAAGCTTTGGAATTTGGTTATGAAGGCAGCAACAATTCAAGGATATTAAATGTGGGTCATAAAAACCCAAAAACAACCACTGAAATTCAACCACAGGAAGTGCGTGGAGAGGTTAGTATATCCCTAGTAGGATTATGTGTGTCACAACAGAGTGAGACTGAGCGACACAAAGAGAGTAAAGACCAAACAGTTTGACACATTTGTACTGCTGCAGTCAACATTCCACCTCTTTTACACAGCCATGTTGCAGTATACAGCATAAATTGTTTAGCACCCTAACACTGTTTAGAGGGAGGGCTGCATTTTGCTAAAGCACAAAAGCTTATCTAGGCCACAGAATAAAACATTGTTGATTTGTGTGGTGTGTCTATAGTGTGTTTCCATGGCACTAGCCTGTTCAGTTAACATTTAGCTTGTGTGTGTGTGTGTGTGTGTGTGTGTGTGTGTGTGTGTGTGTGTGTGTGTGTGTGTGTGTGTGTGTGTGTGTGTGTGTGTGTGGTTGGCTGACTTCTGCGGGGCAGTAGTTGCTATGGCACTGCTCTTGGACCTTGGCTCGCAAAGGGAGCGACTCCCCCCACTTCAAACACTCGGATGCAGGACAGAGAAAGGTTAGGCCGGTCAGGAAGCAGATACTCACAGACTACTTTACGATAACATTTGGTATAACAAGGTAGCTATTCTAATATTAGCCTGAAAGTAAATGACATGCCCAAAATGTTTTTGTTTGAATTAGCAAGTTCACCTGGGTGTCACATTTCCATCGCTGATGATCGGAGACAGGGCTGATAAAAACCTGTGTCTACTGCAAAGTAATTTGACCCAGTAGTGAATGATGAATTTATCAATATCCATTGCAGATAAAAGTCAGATGGTTATGGGTGTTAGTTGGTTTTGACCAGTGGAAAAGGTTATTTTCACTCAATCCTAAGCTGAGGCGATGTCTTTCCTCCACAGAAAAAGACTAGACCTGGCTGCCCTGCGGCTCTTTCCAACTCTGTAATGAGAAAATTCCAGGAATATTTGCCAAGCATTAGGCGAGTCAGGAGGAGAGGAGAGGAAAGGAGAGGAAAGGAGAGGATGATTTACACCTGATAGTGTGCAAGTTCACAAGCACTCTGTATATCATACTATTTATTGTGAAGTTATGACACATACTGTATGAATGAAGTGTGAAGTCGATCAACACACTGGCTGCCCTCCACAGTGAGAAAGAATGAGTTGGCGTTGCCAAATCCCGGTGGAATCAAAGGCCAGCCCCAACAAGTAGTTCTTTAGGCTTATGAATTCCCCTCTTTGAACACTGGCTCTTGCCTTGTGTAGCGGCATTAAGGTTTTTGGGTGTGTCCCGCAGTTTAACTTTCCTTTCAAAAGACTCCCATGCAGTATATTTAAACAGACGGGAAACAGAAAATGAGCAACAGCTGTAGGTGTGAAGGACCTGCTGTCAGTGCATAAAAAGAGCGACATGGACACATGGTTTCAAACTGAAATCAAAACAATGTCTCTGTGTTACAAGTTCACAAAGGTCAACAGTTTCCACATTTTCTACAAGAGGACAACGACCTGTTCCTTCTCCAGCATGGCGATATCCTCAAGGAGGAGGAACCTGCCACAAAAACTCCCCAGGGGGAGATTTACTGATGAAGCACAGAGCATTGTTCCATAAAGGAAGAGAACATGCACAGACAAAAGGCAAGCTGACACCTCCAAAACGACTGACGCTGGCCAAATAAAAAGCCACTCATAAAACACCCCCTTTTGTTCCAGTTTTCAGACCACATAAACAGACCTAAACTGCATCTGTTCCCTGATTCAGGACAAAGCAGAAGCCTTGAAGAACTATGAAATAAATGCCACTGTATTTAAACTAGACCAGACTAGAGGCCTAAAAGAAAGGCAAAATTGGCCTGAATCCAATAACAGGATGTTACCCCACTTGTCAGAACAGTAATGACACAATGAAGTCTCCGCTTTGTTGACCAGGAAGCATATTGACCTGGTAACGCAATGACGCAAGAGAGAACTAAACAGAGCATCGGCACAAATGAAGGAATTGCGAAAACATCTCTCTGCAAAAGCTGTGACAAACTTTAAAACATTTTTACAGTAAACTTGGTTATAAATAGTTATTCGATGCTATAAAAATGGGTTGAAACGTTATGATTGAATAGGATAGTTTACCCCTGACACTCCAAAAGGTTTTGTGGACTCACACACTTCACCTACACCTCCAATGGCATATGATGAGTAGATAATTAGTGAATTTTCATTTTTCGGTGAACATTTCATACCGCGGCTGCACAAAACAATCTGTGCAGATGTTTCAGGTCAAAGGCCAAAAATGACAGGACCCATTTCCTTGATTCACTTCACTTCACTTTTGAGGATGTGGTCATCAATCTTTATATACAGTCTACAGGACAAACCCAAAAAGCATCATACAGGGACTTTAAATATAGGATGGGTATTTTCTACTAGAAAGAGGAAGAGCTGAGCCATGGTGGCACAGAATGGCTGGCATGGTGCAGGGCTGCTGGCATGTCTGTGTTCCTTCCCTGCGTGTTAGGAGGGTTGGCTATTGCTGAATCCATTACAACTGCAGCATGGAGAGAAAAATGTGTCTGTGCATGGCTAAAAAAAAACATAAGACCGGGAGGACAAAACTTGTGCTTCTGACAACCACACTGTAAACTTCGCTCATGGCCAAGACAAATATGCATCCAACACTTTGGAGGAAGAGTGGACCTCATTCACTGAACAGCTGACTAATGCCGTCATCCGAATTAAGTCTTTTTTTTGTCATCCCTGACATTTGTCGATGAGTGTGATTAATCACACATGATTGGGATTGACTATAATAATTATAATTTAAAACAGATGTGACTAAATATGCCCATCCTCTCAAAGTTATACCATTTTGGGACTGTTTCTGATCTGGTTTATGGTGCTTTCATTGTCCTGAACTGAAAGGTTGTCTAGTATGAGAGTCTATGTCTGTTAATTGTCCACTTGTCTTGAGTTATATCGAGGCCGATGACTCCAGCATGAACCACAGCTGGGTCTGGAAAGCCAATGCTGGAACAGAACAACAGATCTCCTGGAAGCGTGACAACAGTACAGACGCCTCTGAGCTGGTTTTATTATCTTAACAATAGCACAAGCTGTGAGAAACTTTATATCTGACGACTTGATATGCAAAACCTGCAGTTCAGGGGATTTCAACAGTCGCCTCTGTAACCAGATGGGACGGCCACATACACATTGTGGCTCCATATGACACATGCAGGTAAGAGTAACATAACACTACAATTACAAAGCAGCCCACAATTCAAGAAACAATAGACGAGATACCAGAGATTCCATGTTGTAAAAGTGAAAATGTGATAGAAGAAGTCATATTTCGGACTAAAGACCATTTAACTTAAGGAGTAAAATAAATGCCATGATCAAACTTCTATGACAAAGAAATGTTATTGTGGCTTGTTTTTCTACTATTCTCAGCCATATAAAAAAGCATGTGGTTGGTCAGTTTCCACTATCTGCCACCCTTGCATTATGAAGAGTAATAAACACAATATCTGTAAAAGCCACCTTTTAATTATCAAAATGTATACATGCAGACAATTAAAGTTACCTCTACTTGTTGGATACTCACACACGTGATGTTGTGGTTTTTCTGAGACTCTTCTCCTCCTCTACCTCATCGTCTGAGCTGCTGCTGGCTGTGGCCTCAGAGTCCAAGGCCTCCTGCAGGCCTCGCAGCACCGCCTGGCTGAAGCGGCTCAGCTCTCTGTGCTCTGTGAAGGAAGATGATGCTGTGGACGACTCTAGCGAAGACAAGAAGAGTTTGCCACCCGCTTGTGGGGGTACTATACCAGGACGGTTGGAGTCGTTAAGTCCATCCCCACGATGAATGTGCCGGTTTAGCCCCTCCAGCTGCTGGTTGCAGTGTCGCAAAGCGTGCTCTCCGAGCAGGGCTTGCAGTCTCTTCTGCAGCCTCCAAGCTTGGCTGTGCAACTCTTCCTGCCTAGAGAGCTGCTCCTTCATGGCCTCCTCCGGCACAGCTCTGGGTACCAGCTGGTCAAAGTTCAAGCTGCCACTGCAAGACTGCTCTGAAGCTAGAGGAGCTAGAGGAGCACAGTCCACTCTGGCTGCTCTCTCCTGTGTCTGTGTCAGTGTCAGTGGGGGTGAAAAAAAAGGAGCACAGTCCTGAGAGTTAATCTCTCCAAAGAAATCTGATGGAGAAACACTGGTGAGTGTAAAGGGGGAGTGGTGCACATCACCACCATCTGGCCTACATTCATGAGCAGCACCCCGGCCATGAAGCAAACAAGCCTCTTGGCTATTGTGCTCAGGGACAGGGCCTAAAAACATGTCTGGTACACCTGGTAGGACCGAGACCACCTGATGAGAATCTCTCAGATCTTCATTGAAGGACAGGAATGTGAGGAGGGAAGCAGGGCTGGAGAGGAGCACCGACTCACACTGGCTGGCAGACGCCTCCAGATATGGGGAAAGCACAGGGTTGGCAAGGACGTTCAGGGGGCTCGCTGGCAGGCAGGGGTCCAGAGAGGGACACAAGGAGAGGTTCAGCCACATCTGGGGTCCACCGTCCTCTGTGAGCCTCATGTGAGGATCCAGCTCAGTCCTGTGCACGGCTCTCCCATTGGAGTCTCTGACAGAGGATAGGGGTGAGGAAAGGTGGATGCCATGGCCATCTTTCAGGATTTTGGTCAGGGCTGGGGCCATATTGCTTTCTGAACCACTGAGGCTTTAGACAGCCAAGACTTCACAGACTGCATCTTAAATGATCTGACAGTTCGAGAGACATTTAAGACAGTTAGACAGTTAGAAGTTCCCCAATTGATGTCTTTAAAGAACAGTTCAACATAGAAAATTGTTTTGACTGTAAAACATCTTGTTAATGTCTGAGAATCCCTAGGGACAGATAAACATTTACAGACAGGAAAACAGATACAACAGACACACCAGCTGTTGACATCAACTAACATATTGACGCACTTAAGGTAACGACAGGTCAATTTAGAAGCATTGTGAGAACTTGTTAAGCTAGCAGGTTAACTTAATTATCCCCCATGTCTGTATTTAAAGATGTATGACACGTTTCTGCTTCCTCCTGTTGTAGAAAAATGAAGACAAAATATCACTGTGCTGCCAAAAAAAGGAAAAACTGGGATCAGTGGGATGATTGAAACCATCTTCCAGAAAAATTCATTTCGACAGTTTATTTTGGTCCATATCTCATCTGCTATCATGGAAGAGATGGGATTTATGTCATATCAGTATATCAAGATGATTTTGGCTTCACTTTTGGGGCGCCGTCACATTGTCCAACTTTATGGTTCAACCTTTTGTGTTGGAAACTAAGTGTGCCACGGTTTCAACACAAATTTAGTCTCGATTGTTTTAACAGAATTAAAGGAAATACGAAATGATTCTTTTCGGAGGAGGTGGAGTTCATGACCTATACTGCAGCCTGCCACCAGCCGGCGATGATGATGATTTTGGCTTCACTTTAGCGGGGCTGTCATGTCGTCCTTCTTTATATATCATTACATATAATGGTTCAACTTTTTGGTGATGAATTAAAAAAATAAATATTCCTCATAGTGTTCTTACTTTATGATTTATTTGGTGGTAACATTGGAAAAACGTTGGCAAAACGTTGGACAAACTAACCAAGTATTTACATCCTAATCAGTTAAACAGCAGTAAAAGAAATATGATACATAACAATTAGGCACCAGGTCGAAACCAAACGTGGAGAAAACAGTGCAGGAGGATCCGGGTAACAAAGTGTTCCATGCACCGTGTGGTAGTTAGTTCAAATAGAATGAAATAAATCTAAATAAACCGTGAGAGTGCCTGATATCGGACGTTCACATCAACTCCGAATGTTGTGATCACTCACCTGAGCACGAGGTGAACCGTTGACTTGTCATCTCTTATTCCTGAAGGATTTACGCCTGAATATTACGTCTTTTTCTCCTTATTTGCTCGTGATGGTCCGAAGCAGCTTGTGAAATCAGATCAGAGTAAAGACAGAGTTGTTCTGCGGTGAGATCCGATCCCCCACTGCTCTCTGTGAACTGTGAGTGAGTGTGTGTGAGTGTGTGTGTGTGTGTGTGTGAGTCCTGTTCAGTCCAACTGACACACATCTGAAGAGAGGGGGCTGGACCTCATGGTGCCTTCAAGGCCTCCGTGGAAGCTCAGACCGCAGACCACTCGGAGAGAAAGATCCCGCCTCCCCACCGCCGTTTCAGCCCTACATTCAAATTTCAACAAAATAAGGTTTGTTTGTTCCTGAAAACAAATTTGACTCTGGACAGGACGACATTTCTCTACATTGAGATTTATTTTTATCAACAACACATTACAGAGACTTCAATTTCACTTGTATGGTACAATATGTCATTTTTATAAAAGTCTGACCCACAACAACAAAAAATATCCCATAGCTACAAAAAACATACAAGATACAAGAAATACGATTAGATAACATAATATGAGATTAAACAAGATAAAACACAATTAGATAAAATAATATGATCTTGAACAAGATAAAATACGATTTGATAAAATAATATGATCTTAAACAAGATAAGATACGATAAGATCATCCTTTATCAGTCCCACAAAGGACAATTTGCTAATACACGAAAAGAAAAGAATAAAAAGTTGAAGTTTGAGGGATAGAAGCTAAAAAGTGAGTGCGAGGCTTCCACCAGTGAGGCAACATTTCTGTAATTATTAATAATTCATAATTACGTTATTCTGAGGTCATTGTAAATACAGATCTCTTTCTCATCATGTTTTCTGTATCATCCTTTTTAGGCACTAATTCATAATTATGCAATGTAGGTGTCATCATTGTGGTAATTTTAAGACCTACCTAAAATGACAGACACCATCTATGAAAAAAAATATTTATGTATATTTAAAATTTTTACTTTGGTCAAATCCATTCATTGAGGATTAATGGCCTGTACTGTAGCCAGCCACCAGGGGGCAAACAAGGTGATTTGCTTTCAGTTTTGAGTGAATAGTTGAAGTGGATTGCAAGGTTTCCGACAGACCGTGAAGGCTGCATGAATAGGAAAATCACTGAGAGAAAAGTATTGTTGTCAGCAGTAGGACAACATCAGTGACAAAAGTAAATTATTATCACACTGAAAGAAATACTCAGGTCCTGAAATGTTACCAAGGCAAAGTACATATTGTTCACAAAATCTTGCATTCAGGTGTAAGTAGCATGTTTACCGAAGACCACAGGTATGAAACTTAACCACACTTCTGTTTCAAAGTAGTGTATCTATTTGTCTTATATTTATTGGTTGTGTCTTTTAACTCCTTTTTTCTGATTTCTTGTTTTCTTTCATACATTTGCACTGCTCCAGAAATAGCATCTCTAATTTCGTTGTACTGCTTTCTATTTGATTATGACAAAAATGGCTTTTAATTCTGTTCTATTCAATTCTATTTCTAAACAAGCATAACGATGGACTTCAAAGTAAATCCTCAACCTGATCAGACACCCAACAATTACTATGACATTTGGACATCAACAGTTAAGAGTATCAGCTATTTCACCTGATGTCAGCTTGCCATCTCTTGTTACCACGCCAACATGACAGTGCTTTGAGTGCCTTCCACGTTCTACCCACCCTTTGCCTGAATACAGCCTGACCGATCCCCAGGTTGACCGTGGTGCCTGATATGTACATTGAGTTGAAAGTGAAGAGGACCAAAAAACTTACAACAGAGTGCGGTGAGTAGGCTTCAGTGAACGAATCAAAGAGGTAGAAGGTGACATAAAGGAAGAACACGACTCCTTGACAGATCCCAGTGATGGCTATTCTCATATGTCTTTGAATCCTCGATTCGTTGAAGCAGCTGCCGCTCAGTGCCACGTTTCTTATGTGTCTGTAGAGGTAGCGGGTCATTGAGAAGCTAGAAATGCTCGTTAAACACAGACACATCAGGATGTAAGCTCTGAAGCTGTAGAAACAAACAATGTTCAAGAAGTCCATGTCAAATCTATATTCTTTCCATGTGCTGTTAAAGCATGTGAAGTGCCGGGAAACTTGATGTGTCACACTCAAAAAGCTGTTGAGCAGAAAAAACATCTGGTCGAGAAGCAAAGCCCCGAACATGACTGACTTTATGTTCCTCTTTACCCAGATCCAAAGAGCTCGCTGTGCAGGGACAATCTGGATATAGAAGTAGAAGTTTATCCGAACGTAACACGTCAAGCTGTTGTGCATGAAGTAGAGCACAATCGCCCAGGATATGACAAACACTCCTAAGCCTTTACACTCCTTTAACACATAAAACAAGAAAGGCAAAGCAACACAATAAATAATAGAGCAACAGACAAGACATCCCAGGAGTGTCTTCAACGGCTGCTTGAGTTCCTGTTGGCCACGCGACGCGGAGATCAAACAACACGCGTAGAAGATGTTCGCAGTGAGGCTGAAGAAGATAAGAGGAACGTTGATCAGTATAAAAGCCCATTCACTGAGATCAAGGCGTTGACGTTCCATTGGTGCTTAAGAAAAGTCAGATGTATGCTCCTCTCTGAGTGTACGTGTTGTCTGGTCTCTTCTACACCAGTCTTTTAAAAGGGAAACCAATATTAATGGATCATAACAGTCATACATCATGCAAACAACCATTCCCAATGAGGCACAGCATGTAAAATACGTCCTGTAACCTCACAGCGGAGACTACAAACAAGGAGAGACAGCTTTACTCGAAACTTCAAGCGTCTGTAAAGCTCACAAATGAGCATGTTTCTTTGTTTAATCCATTCATACACATCGATTTCTGTCATGCACACTGAAAATAAAACCTAGAAATTGTTATGTAGTAGTTTCGACAGTAGTTTTGTGACTGTGTTTTGTTTCTGGGACATATTTAAGAGGACATCAGACAGACCGTAAAGACATTCAAAAACTTTTGAAGGGTAGCAGGGGCTTATCCAAGCATGTGTGAGCCATACGTTACCTAATCAATGGCTATTTATTAACCGAGGAAGCCAACTTGAGTAGACCAGACACACAAAAGGCATCAAAGTTTCAAGCCAGCCAGAACTTTCAGTTTACAGATACATACATTCAGTTTACTGGTGGTAATCATTTATCTTGACCTTCCTAAATATGTAACTTAGCAGCCATGTTCAGCTACAATGATAGTGATGCCTCTCATGTGTTCATGACTTCAGTAGTTTTATAAATAAAGCCACAGTGACAGTACTAATACCTATTGGTAATATTATCTTTATTATATGTATTTTAAATGTATTTAAAATATATAACTTAACTGTTGATGATATTCTTATTTTGTGCCAAAATGTCAAATCTGACTTAGAATAATATCAAAATTATATTATTGTGAAAAAATAACATTTCCACAACATATATATTTTTTATATCAGTATATTTTGATTTTAAGTTGAAATTATTTAACAATATGAATTCAAGCTCTTAGTTACAACACAAACTGTGTCAACAACAGAATAAAAATGTGAATGATTCAAACGACTTTCAAAGATAATTTCATTTGAGACTAAATGCTCTACTATATTATTTTATTTAAATAAGAACGTCTGACTAAAACGCCAGAGTCAACAGATCATATAAACATATACGATAAAAAAAAATAAAAATAGACCTCATCAGAAATATCTAATTATTATACACCTTTACATTCAAACACTGATATACAGTTAATTATTCCTCTCACACACACACAATCACCAATACTTAGAGGACGCACACGCGTGCACACACACATTTAAAGCAACATATTTTTCCCTCCAAAGTCTGTCAGTGTGTACGAATCAGATGTTCACGATGCTACATGTACAGAATATCAACATACAGGGAATAAATAAACGTCAATTTCAGATCAGGAATTCTATCCTCACCTTACACTGGTTTAAAAATTAATTTACAACCTTCAGTGGTTTGTTATTATCATGTTCCATCAATATGAAGAAACGGATCATTTCCATATCACAGCAGTGGCACGCACATATTCATATTTCAGCACTTGAGGGACCATACATTATCAATGTATTTTTGCATGTTCTTCACTATTTGCGACAGATCACATATAGTTTATAATACTGCTGTTTTGAATCGAATTTAAATATGTTTTCCCAGATTCCTCACATGCATTTACATTTGTTTACAGTTGATGAGTTACTTTTACTTTCAATTGTGCATTCATGCTTTTCTCTATAGATTTTAATGACAAATGAGGGTCAGTGGCTTCCTGGAGGACAGGAAAACACAAGAAACAATCTTTAAAGCCACAGCGGTAATGTAAAGTACATGCAAGTTGAAGTAAGTGAGGTAAAACATGCAAAAACACTGAAATCATCAGATTGATTTTACTTGCAAATATGTGTACTTCTCTGATATGCGCACACACACGCATTTCCATAATTAATGTCCAGCCCTGAATGCAGATGGGTTTTCAAAAACAGTGAAGCTAACACATGAGCGTCTTCACTGTGAAAACCCACATGACACATCACAATATAAGAGATGGTGAGTTTCCGTGTGTGTGTTTCAGGTGGAGCAGTTAGAAGTAGTCTCTTCTTCGTGAATCATCACTAATGAAGGAGGGGTTCCACTGGGCGGGGTAGATGCACGAGTGGCGAGAACCCGGCAGACCTGTGAATGGGTACAGGCCATTTCTCTCCAGGTCTGAGTTACGCAACGCAGGCTGAGGGGATGGAGACAAAGAGAGAGAAAATTAAATTTAAAAAAAAAATGAAACACACAAAACTAAACCCCAACTTGAGCGAGAAAGACAAACCCAGAAACACGAAAGACTAATAAGAGAGTGTTTTAGAATAAGAAGTGTATATGAGGTCTCCTTACAGAATAGTAAATGTCAGTCATCTGCAGCAGGTTCTTGGTGCTGCCGTTCTCTTGCATCTCTATCGTCTCTCGGCCCCACTCCATGGATATGCGGTTATTTTTGGGGAAGTCTGCGTAAGGGGACATCTGCAGATCTCCACTCTTGAAGATGATCTTGTTGATGTCATTCTTATCTTTCCTGGGAGATAAAAACACTTGAAAAATGAATTCCTCCGCCAATGAATAACATTGAATAAAGCAATAATAATGTACATCAGTACAAGAACACACTGCAAATAAACTTCCAGCAACACTATATACAGTATTAGAAGTACATTCTCACATTTACCTAGAGATTAACACAATTGTTTCATATTCTAGAAGAATCTGTTTCTGTATTTTTTAAATAAAAACTTGAAATAAGGTAGAGAGGTGGACTACTGCACTCGTGTCAGGAACATTTGAATAACTCATGGTGAAATTAGCACAAACACCGGTGTGAAGAGAACCTCAAATGACGGAAACCATCTTTGAGAATAATTAATTTATCACTTTGACTTTTTAGCTTGGTCCATGTCCCATCCACCAACATGGAGGAGGTGGAGTTTATTACCTACACTGCAGCCAGCCACCAGGTGGCAATCAACATGATGTGGCTTAACTTTTGTGGAGCTGTCAGTTAAAGCAAGACAGGGACAGTGTTTAATGCAAACAATATCTGCCGACTTACCTGCAGCAGGTGACAATGAGAGCGATGATGAGGATAAGGAGCATAGCGCCCCCTGTAGGTGATACCACAACTGCAATCAGCTTGTAAACTGCAACATCAAATAACAACATGCAGTATTAAATACTGCACATACAAATTGGATGCACACAACCATCACACGATGAGAAAATAAATGAAATGTCAGTTTTTTTAGTAACTTACAATTTCCACAGTTGAATCCTCCAAATCCAAACATGCACCTGAAAAGCAGAGACACAATCTGCAGTGAGAATATGACCTTAAATCTTTTAATCTGTAGGTAGGGAAAAAAATTGACTTGAACCTACTGAACACAGGTGCCGTTTTCCAACTTGTAACCATCCCCACATTCTGGAACAAAAGGTTTTGTTGAAATAAATCAGATAACAGTTTCCTTTACAGAGGCTTAAAGTGTTTTACTATTATTAAGTGTTCTTAATTTGTATGAATTTCAAATAAAGAATTAGAAGAATCTACTGTTCCCTCAGTATTTTGTGTTTGTCAGGAAGGAAAAATTACCTTCTCTTCAATATATAACAGAAGTGTAACATTTGAATTGTATAAGATTATCTGTTTTTTTTATTTTGTCTTCTTTTGGACATTTCATGCTTTTGCAGTCAAGGCTCCTCAGAACTCCAGGCCCAAGGATCTCAGGCTTGCAGAATCAGTGACATCTTTTAAATTACTTCCTTAGCTTTTTATAATCTTTCATTAATTTTAACAAACAATTTTATTATCTACATGCTTAGTCTGTTCTTTTTATTGCTATCGTTTTACTGCTGTGTTTTAATGTTTTATCACTATATCATTTTACTCAAATCCTGTTTCACCCTTGTTATGCACTTTGTAACCAAGTGCTATATAAATAAATCTATTATTTGTACTTTCATTAATACTATTAGTAGTAGTCGTAGTATCAGCAGAAACAAAGAGAGAGAAAAAGTGATCTTACCGAGGCAGGTCAAGTCCTCAGGATTGTGTTTGTAGTATCCTTGAAGACACTGGCAGTACGCTGTGCCTCCACTGTCTGTGCACATGGAGCGCTCTGTGTCACACTGAGACTTCTGAGCCATACACAGACTCTCCACTGGAACGCAACGTGGACACAGTTAGTACAGAAAGTAACGACACAGGAATCTGATCCTAAACTGGACAACATGAGAGTAGGCAAAGTAGCTTACAGTGATTTAACTCACTTTGTGAAGTGGCCATGGGTGCTTTGAAAGGCACTATATTAATCCAAGTTATTATCATCATTTGATTATTTATGGCATTGAACTGCTATTATAGAATTCCCTGTAGCATGAAGTTGAAGTGAAATACAGCAGCTGTATTATTTTAACTGAGTAATATTTTCAGAAATCCATCATGGCACCTTTCACAGGGGACGTTTTACAGCTCCATTCTGCCCTCTAGTGGCTCTGAACATGATTTTAACTTTGATAGTTGGGCCTCAATCCTGTTTAAAGCAGGAAATTGTTTTAAAACCAGAAAGAATCATTATTATGTTAATCACAATGTGGTGCTGTTTACCATGATAAGTGAGCTGGTGGTGCAGGACCATACGGCAGTGTGCCGTCGAGGAGCTGCAGTTGCTGAGAGACATCTGGATGCTGTTGAAGACTTCAGCGCTCGTCACGTCGGTGGAGATCGAAAACATGTTGACAGCAAAGATACGAACCCCGTCCTCCTCTCTGCAGGAGGAGAGCAGAGGTCAGCGTGGACTTCGACACTGACACAACTTTCAGGTTTCATCATTAAGACTGGAACATATTGCAGTTATGACGTAGAAATGCAGCTTTTTTTCTCATGTAACTATGTTTTGGCTTAAAATACAAATAAAACAGCAAGAACTCACTTCTTACTCAGAGTCGAGCGGCTGTAGCCTTGAAGGACTGACAACGACGCATTGAGCTGCAGTGACGACAGGAAGAGAGTGTGCATGAGTTACTAAGTCATTCAGATTTTCTCAGAAATGAGCAGAGAGGACGATGCAGTGACGTGGACTGCCGCTCACCAGCTGAATAATCTCCCTCTGGATCTCATGCATGGTGGAGCTCTTGAAGATGACAGGGTCTTGTGGCAGCCTGTTGAAGCTGAACGTTCCCAGAAATGTCTTCGCTGTGGAGGTGCAAAAAAATCAAAGGCCTTTTAGAAAATAACTCAGGTAGAAAAAGAATAATCAGTATGTATGTGTATATTCAGGGAACTTACCCCTGGTACAGGTGCGTCCGTCCTCGAGGTCGAAGCCGAGCGCACATTCGCAGCTGAAGGAGCCTCGTGTGTTCACACACCTGGAGCCAACTGGGCAGGGGTCCCTCTCACATTCATCCATATCTGGGAGCATGGTACATAAAGGTATTGCAATAACACAGCCACTGAATCCATAGAGTTTAGACCTAATCTCTGCACTCCACACTGTTCATCAGTATGATATATTTTTCTGGAAATTTCATGCTTGGAAAACTTGAAGCAGCCTGAAACACAGTTGTTATCAGACAAGAAGAGGGGAGAAGAGAAGCTCACCCTGGTTGCAGGTTGGTCCTGTCCACGCCTGCTGACAGTGACAGGTGAACAGATGCCTTTTATAGCTCACACACATCCCTCCGTTCATGCAAGGGTTTGACACACAGGGGTCTCCTGGAGGTCAGACAGGAGGTCAGACACTTTAACATGAAATGGATGCAACTGAACCTTTGAAAATGTTCTTACTCTTATTATGTCTTATCAATCTCATGATGTACAATGTTTATGATGACCATTTCCATGCCAGACCTCATTTTAGTATGTTATCTGCATGGTCCCCAGTTCTGCACTGCAGAGTGATTTCTGAAAAGATCACTCTGGGATAATCAATCATTTAAATATGCAGATTAGAGGATTTTCCTAGAAAGGGATCAAATGAAATTTAATCTATTACAAAACAGCACCTTCTCTGATAATTTGAAAACACTGGAAAGTGTCAATACATGAAAATAATGCAGTATGTCAACATTAATGTTTTTTTTAATTGCATAAAATGACTTGTTTAGGACTACACGCCATAGTTTGTCCCATTCAATGAAACCTCGGGATCAATCACTGAATGTGTCAATAAATGGAAGGTGATAAAACTTAAACTTAGATGATCAGTTCTGCCGTCTGAAATGATATCCATGTTAACTGGCTTCTGTCGCTCACTATTCGATAGAGAACATGAAAGTGTACTTAACCCTGTCTTTGTTCCTGGTCTTTGTCAGATAAAATTGCAGCTGATGTATTTGATGAGGAGATTATGTTTTCACTGCTGTTTGTATGTCTGTCAACAGGATTACACAAAAACTACCAGATTCTCTTGACACTTGGTGGAAGGCTGGGATGTGAGCCAAGGAAGAAGCCATTCACTTTTGGAGCAGATACCATTTAAAGGGTGGATCCATGTGTTTTTGTTTCTTTAACATTAAGATTGATCATTTCTCAACATTTCGGGGAATTTCTGAAGAAATAATGTTGAGATCTTGATTTAAGAATGATGAATAATGAACAGTTTGCAGAACATCTCTGTGTTCATGGTATATGTGTCTGACCTCAGTGTGGTGATAAAGGCCTGGTGGAGGTATGAGCTCCTTCCATTTCAAATTTGAATTTTGGTATAGAGCATAGACTTTCATCACAGTGGCCATTTTAAAATAAAACAGTAGCTGAACTTTGTTTATTAATTAATAAATGCCCTATAACTAAACTGACCACAACTCTTTACAAATGTGACTGTAAATGCCTGTGTTTACCTACTATTTGTGTCAAAATGGCTGCTAAGGTTTATTATCAGTTTCCATAACTGAAGAAAAGAGAGTCTGACTAACAACCTTGCTTTAAAAGCTGCATGTCAATAATTGCTATTTACAATGAAAGAAGTAAGTGAACTCACTTGTTGGTGGTGGTGGTGTTTTGGTGGGTTGGATGTCAGCGGGTGATGTAGTCACCACCAGCTCTGTGGTCCCCCTCCCACTCTGTCTCCCGGTGGTGTGCAGGACCTCTGTGCTCCTGGTCGGGGTGCTGTGGGTGTTGGGCGTGGTGACATACTGGCTGTGAGAGGTGGTACCTCCCAGAGTGCCAGTTTCTATCTGCAGGGTGGTGCCGTTTGTGGGGTTAGCACTCTCTGTTGAGGGGCTCAATGACGTGCTGCGAGTTGTGTGCACTGCTGAGGTCTGCAGGGGTGGGGTGGGAGCTGTGGTGGGGGCTGTGGTGTAAGGGATGGTGGCCTTGGTGAGTAACTCTGACGTCGAGCTGCTGCTGGTGCTGCTGAAATGGGAGGATGAGGTTGCTGATAGAGGAGGGACGGTGGTGGATGTGGTGGAGGAGGTAAAGGCCTTAAAAGTGTCTGTTGTCTCTGATCTGTTGATGAAAAAATAGAAAAAACTGTTTCTCACTGACTCCTGACAAGAACTAAAAATGTCTTCATTACATCAGTCGAGTTCATCTGAGGACTGACAAATTTAATGATCACTCAACATGGAGGCTTGACAATTACTTTAGAAACTTAAAACTCTAATAGAGCTGAAATTCTCTGTTAAAACGATTTTAAAAATACATGTTTTTTTTAGCTGTTAACTAAATTACATGAATACATGAATGCTGATTTTGTATAAAATGTATTAAAAAAATCTACATTTTAAGTTTGAAAGGGCTCATAACACCACCTAGTGTTCAAAATAACTTAGACCTTGTATGTATGCTTACGTACACACACACAAACACACATTGTTTGAACCGTGGGCAGCAGTTTAAACTGCTCAAGACGACTGTGGTCTTGGTCATCAGAAACTTGGGAGCCTCTACTTCAGATGAAATTCCTGTTGAAAACGTTTGTGTCGCTCACAGATAGATGAGCTACATAACTTTTTTGAATGTCTTAGGGGTGAAGCTGTACTTTAATAACAAAACTCTGCTCCTATGCCGTTGTGACAATCTTTCCTTGAATTTTTTACAAAGTGTAATAAACAACACAATGTACCTTTCTGTGACAGGAACCTGTGTAGTTTTGAAGGAGATTTCAGTAACCAGCACTGGAGTGTTTGTCAGAGAGTCATCCATATCATGTGTATTGCTTCTGACTGTAGGGGGCTCTGTTGTCAGACCCGGGCCCATGCTCTCCTCTCTGGTCTGGGATGATAGCCCCTTGGTGCCCTCCTGATTCAGAGTACTGAAGCTCTGCGATGCCTCAGTGGAGGTTCCCACATCAGATCTGGTCTCCAGCTCTGTCCCTGAGATATTGGTCGGACCTCCTGCAGGTGAGGTGACAGGAGGCGTGGAGGAAAACAATACGTCTGATTGGTCGGTGCTGAGCTCTGTCACTCTGAGAGGCGTCGTTGAGTCGGAGGTCTCCTCAGTCTCTGAGGTGTGCTGATGCCACGTGGCGTTTGGTGGTTCAGTTAAACTCTGGGTTACTCTGGACTCCTCTGGGCTCCCTGTCTCTGAAAACATGGTCATGTGCTCGTCTGTTGCGTCCCCGCTGTCAGTCTGAGTGGATGGGGCGCTGTGGGTGTAGTCCTCAGTCTCTTTGGCCTGAGCAGGGACACCCCAGGTAGAGGGGGGCTGATGGGAGTTGGAATCCTCCGTGAATGCAGAGGAGGTGCTGTTGCCAGTGGAGGAGGTGACGGAGAGCAGGGTCCTCTCCCCGGCTCGACTGATAGCCGAGGAAGTGTAGGTGCTGTCAGTGAGGATGGCTGTCTGTGACGCCAAGGCTGTGCCATCCCGCAGCTGCAGTGTGGTGTCTGGGTTGTCCTGGGGCAGACTGGTCTCCTCTGTCAACGTCCAGGATCTGGCCTTCCAGGACACAGGGTGGGAGGCACTGGGCACCAGGTCTGTGATACCTAAGTCCTTCCAGCCACTGCTGCTGCTACTGCTTCTGCTGCTACTGTCACTGCTGGTGCCGCTGCTACTGCTACTGCTGCCACTGGTGCCGCTGCTACTGCTGCTGCTGCTGCCACTGTCACTGCTGGTGCCGCTGCTGCTGCTGCTGC